TATGAAATTTCAATTTTACGTCAATTCAAATGTCTCGTGTAACGTACAACGTTAACATTATGCAATTCGAAAAGAGGGTATTTGCGTCTCGATTAGCCGTACCAATGAGGACGACAGTCAAAAATTTCACTATTTCATTCTTAATAAGATTAGTTTTTTTCAAGATAAAATCTTCTATTTAGCAAAAAAGGCACAGAATTTTAATTTTTTTGCGAATAAATTACTAAAGGTGCCAGAAAAGTACTTATTGGTACATTTAACCCTTAAGGACACAGGTGGCGTATTTCGTACGCCACTGATGCCTGTTCTATTTCTCTAACATCTTGTTACTCGAAATACGTTTTTTTTCTAATTTAATTAATCTACCATTACAAATAGGAAGGTATTAAATTAAAAGATAAAAAAGAAGCCTGCTGCTGCCTTTTGAAATTACGAAATAAAGGAAAGGCGTATTCAGGATCTGTATCCTTGAGGGGTTAATTCACTTATATTAGGTGTACCATTAAGTAATTCACTATTCTCGAAATAGGTATTTCAAATTCAAAGATCATTTCGATCTTGAGTTGAAAATCATTGTCAGAACAAATAGTAGGTACAGATCCTTCACTTCTATAGAAATTAATACCGATTTCGGCAAGATATAGTCGATTACTTATTGGTACACTGAATATTATACTGTACGTTAACCCATTAAGTCCAAAGCAGTAAAATAAGGCGATTTTGACATAATTAATTATTTATTACTTATAAAAGCGTAGGTATAATAAAGAATATAATGCTATAAAGTAAAATGCTGGATTGGTAAATTTTGTGTAATAAAATGTTGCGTTTATTCAACATTGGATAACTTTTTATTGAATAAAGTAAATAAAATAACTTATATATTATTTTGCCGAATTATAAAAAGTGTATTATAGTACTACATAGACATCATATAATAGAAGCCCACTACATATGTGAGAAAGATACACCGCAAAATTTTCGCGGTTTAAAAACAAATTGATTTATCGTAGTGCAATAAATACTTTAATTTCTTCACATTTTAAAACGTCGTAAGATCTAAGTGGGAGAAGATATACCGACGAAAAGAATATTAAGCAAATCTTTGAAATTCTGTTTCATAATTGCAACATGAAAAAACAGAGTTTAGTAACGTAAATTGACTGCAAAAAAATTGCGAGTGAAATGTTACGTTCACGCAACGTTGGTTCGTAATGGGTTAATACTGTCAGAAAAACGTGCTACTAAAGTTCAGTTACGTAACTTGTGATTTGGTTCGTAATGGGTTAATACTGTCAGAAAAACGTGCTACTAAAGTTCAGTTACGTAACTTGTACACGCACCCAACACAGAAAAGACGACCAGATCAGACCAGATCAGAAGACCGAAAAGGGACGAAACTTTTCCCTCTGTTTATTTTATCGACATCGCAATTACATTAATTGTTTCGTCGTTCGTGTTCACAAGCAAAGAAGGTTTTTCATTCGTTATATGGCACACTGCACAGGGGTCTGAAAACGCTTTCTATTGGCCAAAAGTCATAATGTCATTTTGAAAAGTTTTTCTTTCTAAAAGTTGGTAGTCAAGGCTCTTTCAGGTCGCTGATAACGAATTTGACACCAAAAATTCAAACTCAACATGGCGGATTCAATATTATGCATGTATGGTCTGGAAACTCGCTGTCCATGGCCAAAATTAAAAAGGCACACAGATCCACCTTTTCCAACGCAACACATTATAGTTATTAAGTGTAACTAACATTAGTAATATACTATACTTATATAATTATATTACGTATTTTATAATTACAATTATTTCATTACATATAATTATATTTTCGACGTTAATTTCAAATGATCCAAATATTAACAAAAAATTCTAAACATCTGAGTCCAAGCCGTTATTCAAAAGTTAAGCGGCCGAAGTACGTGCCTGGAGACTATTCAGACGCCAAAATACTGAGGGCCTCTATTTCTTACAAGTTGCGTACACTAAAAAATTGCAGAAGCTTGCAGTTAAAATTTATATGCTCCTCTTAGTAATTTTTTAAACTTTCACATAAAAGAAATCTGATGCTTACAACTCTTAATCACTTTTTTTAAACCCTTCTCAAAGTCTAAATTGCTGTAAATTTTGCACTGCTTGTTCATGCATTAAAAAACGCTTAAAATACAATTAAACAACCGAAATATAGTTACTGGTATGCATAAAACTATAATTCAAATCATTTATTTACTGTCTTATAATTTATAATTAGAGTAATTAGTTTCACTTTGCATTTCAACATTTTGCCTTTAGAACGTTACCCTCGATTACACAATTATCCAAAATGAATAATATTATGGATTTCGAAGGTTTGAAACATTGTTACTTTATAGCAAAAAAAAATTTCAAAATGTTTCACTTCAAAAATTGACTTTTGGCCACTAGAAACGCGTTTTCAGACCACTGTGCACTGGTGAGAATGCAAGGACACACAATGGATACGCGTAGTGTGGTGCAGATCTTAGCTGTTGCGACAAGCGTGATTACGATCGATCAGGTGAATTCAATGCACGTGCGTTTTCTCGAAAGCTGCGCGTGCGTACACATGGAACAACCGCGCGCGTCTATTTTTCTTTTTTTTTTATCGGAAGATCACGACGTATGTACATGAAAATTATCGGTGACGTCACGTGATGTGTCGACAACGCGGACAGTATGCAGAATAATGCAAATAACGCGCCGAAAGTAGCCGTGCTACCTTCAAGACGTATCTATCTATAGAACGACAAGATCGGGGACGCTTGGTTCAGCGGTTGACGGTGGCATTTAAAGGCACGAAAAAGAGTTATAGGCTCTTCGTCGTTATGTTCTCCCCTTACGCGAACCTACTACGTCCGACCTCGGATTCCACGGGGAAGGTTCGTTAATTTTGGAGCACATGGATATGTTATTTTGTTTTCGTTTAGATAAACACTTCGGTTGCGCAGTGAGTCACATTCAGGCTGGTCTGTGTTTCGTGCCATTTGCGGTGTGCTGAATATAATTTACGAGGGGAGTTGAAACGTTTTTTTTTATTTAATATAGACGGTTAGATATTTTATGCAATTGGAAATATTGAGTAAACGATAGTTTCTAGGGCGAATTTTCAAAAAAATTCTTTAATTACTCGAGGGGTCATGTCTAATCACCAAGCCAAAAAGAAGGTGCAAACTCTTTGGAATTTTTTTTGAAAAAACTAATCGGCTTTTTTTAAAACTAATACTTTATTCTAATACTTAAACTAATACTTAATAGTTTTTTTGTACCAAAACATAAAAAAATGAACGAGTAACAGCCACTCTTCCGGAAGCAGTGTTTTTTAAAGGCGGTTTGCGGTGCCCATGATTTCTCGGAGGTGGATCATCTGAAATGAAAAATGCAAAAAGATTCTGTTAATATATGATTTTATTTAATACGTCAACGAAGGGTTTTTCATGAAACTGATTTAGGGCGAAATGGCAGCTGTGTTACGCAAAAATAGAGTTTTTCGATACTTAATCTTTTGTTTTTCTTGAAGTAAAAAAAGAATTTTCATTAGAAACGAAAACCCTTCGTTCACCTACTAAATAAAATCATATATCAACAGAATCCTTTTGAATTTTGAATTTCAGATGATCCTGTTTCGAGAAACCGAGCTCACCGCAAAGCGCCTTTAATACTATAAGTACAATAAGTTTATTATCACAAATTTTATTTAAAAAAAATACTAAATGATTATTAACTATTGTGAAATTTATGCGTAAAATTTGACAGCTCAGTGAGATGCAGATATATGATTTACATAGTTAGGTGATCAGAAATTACTTCCTTTGCATTTCTTCGTTTGAAAGTTAAATTATAATTAAATTATTATTAGGTTTGCACTTTTGTTAATACCAAATTAAAGGTAAAATATAGCTTTACTCGAGTACCAACAATTCTTTTGGATGTGGTCAATTTTTCCACGTATATGCTAAAAAACAGGCGATAGTTACTCTTTGGTGATTGGGAACTGTGTCCGTAACGGTATGACAGGGAACGTAAGTGGAAACAATTTAGTATTATAATATAAAATTTGTATAACATTACTGGAATTAGTATAATTGATTTACAAAATATAATTCAATATTACCATAAAGCATAATACTGTAACTTCTAAAATCTATAATTAAATAATATTATTAACTATGGTAATTAGTAAACTATTTTCAACTGCATTATTCTAGGTATTCAATATCATCGTTATTTCCACTGTGAGGGAAATGTCACTTCACGCTGTGAAACGAGTCACTTCTTATCGCTAATTCCATACTAAAAATTATTAGACCCGTGATAGTAATAGTACTTCTGACGATTATCAAGATAAGCACATTATATCTCTGATTCTCACTTGTGTATTGGGACATTGGTACTTTTATAAAACGTCAAAGTTATGAAAGACCGCCTTATTGACTCGAATGTTTCATATAGTAGACCCTTTCAAGTTATAAATTACTTAATAAAATTAAATCTATTTCTTATTCCTTTACAGTATTTCATGAATAAGAACCTTAATATTTATTGTACAATTTAATGTAAACTGCAGTGGAGTTAAAAAATTTTTCTTCAGAAAGGATAGTTAGGTAGTATTTACAGCCATTTTATAAGGCTAATGTAGTGACTGAACAAATTGTACAATATTGTTAATATATATGGTTTTATGTTGTAAATATTTTTTAGAATGTCATTGTCAAGATTCAAAACAAGTATCTTATGTGACATTATAACGAATATTATTGGACCATTTTTCTGGCCGATGCTGAATTTTCCGCATGAGTGACACTTATTACAGTTCTTAGGAGATCGAGTCCGATAATTTCCAAACATTATTTGTTCATGACTAGTTTACTATCTGGGTGACTTACCTTCTTAGTCTCAAGTAAGTTCAAACTAACTCAATTATCGTTTACTTTAATCCCAATTCGTTTGTTTTTCCCGCAGGTAAATCAGATCGAAAGATGCAGACCGCACCGCCCGTGCTGTCGTTGTTCCTGATCATCCTGAGCTACTCAGGATGGACGAACGGGCTGTGCAACCTGGAGAACGGTACCGTAGCCCGCTGTAACGAACTCAAGGATGTCAAGTACATCGAGACCTACGATCTCGACACATTAAAAGCTCCTGTCCTGGAGTCGGTTCTTCGTCCGGGTTATTTCACCAATCTGGCGAGCCTGCGACATTTGGATCTCTCAGTGGGCGACCTGAAACACATCGAGCCAGGATCTTTCCACGGATTGACCAACCTCAGAAGTCTAAACCTGGCGGAGAATCGAATCGCAAGTTTGGAGTTATCAGCTGTTCGAGACTTGAATCATTTGCATAGTCTGAATCTTCGTAAGAATAATCTCCATCAATTGCCGCCGGTTGTGGCCGACTTAAAGTCCCTCAGACACCTTGACGTTCAAGGTAATCCGTTGCAATGCAACTGTGCGACGCTTCTAATCCGAGATCTGATTATGAAAAGGAACGTGAAGATCTCGAAGAAAGTTATCTGCGCGGGGCCAAGCAACATGAAGGGTACGCCTATGTTTAAACCGGATACTACGATCGTCTGCAATCTCGAGGAGCAAGATCGTGAAATGCAAAAGGATCAGGCATACAACGAGTCCGACGAGGAGTATGGTTCAGGCGACGACATCGACAAGAAAGTCGACGACGACGAATTCGTAGATATTCCAGATGCAACTTCGGAACCCGCAAAACCGGTGGAACTCGAGACACCCGCTCCAACAACCGTGTGCTCGCCTGACGATTGCCTTGTCGACAATGTTTCGGAAAATGATGGAGATATCATTCTGTCGGAGGACGAGGTACCGAAAAAACTGGAAGTAAAGAAGGTATACAAGGACGCCTTGTTCTCGCCAGACGAAGGGTCCGGGGACGAACTGGAAGGTTCTGGAGAAGGTTCCGGGAATGTTACGATTTTCGATGGTTGGGGAAAGGCTGGCGATGTGGATGAGACCACCGACACCGAAGAGGAATCGCAGTCTCTAGGCGACAAGCTGTTAGATACGTTATTCAATGTGTTATTGAGCACCACTAAGGCTCCTGAAACGAAAAAGGACTTGAACCTGGAGGAGGAACAGTTCATTGACGCGTCCGTGACCAAAGAAGCCGACGAGACAACCGCGGTGCCAGAAAAAGCTAATGTCGACGAATCAGTGCCAGTCACCGGTAGCACTATCAAAGTAGACATAAATGCAACCACGATACCTCCTAGCGACGGGGTCGAGTTACTTGACGGTGAACCGCACGATCACTCGAAGACGGGCAAAGTGAAAACTGACGAAGAGGATCTCAACGATAAATTAGCTGAAGTGTCCCCAGCGAAACAGTCCAAGAAGGGGATGGGTTCCTACGTTGTGCTTGCGGCTCTGCTAGCAATCTTGGCGACCCTGATTGTCTTTGCAGCTTACAAGGGTGACTTCTGCAGAAAGAAGCGAAAACGCGGTGACGTTGAAAATGGCACCGATATGAAAGACATGCAGAAAGCTCTTCTGGATACGGGGAACGCAACGCAGCCGAAGGTGGTGACGAACGGGACTATGGAGAACGTGCCTCTGGTCGAGGATTCGATTGATCACGAGGAGACGAAGAGGTCAGACGTTCATCGGACCGAGATGGAAGTGTCCAGACCATCGAATGGCACCTTGGAACGCGTGGACCCGGTGAAACCACCCAGACGAACCAACGAGCCGTCCAGTCCCGATAGGGACTCGTTAAAGAACGATTCGTCGCCCGCAAGGACGAGTCCCGTGGATGTTACAGTGAATAACGGCCCGTCGACAGATGTCAATGGTCCCCCGTTAAGCCCAGGTGCTCAGAGAGTGAAGATCACCCTGCAGGAAAATCCAGACAGCGTGCCAAGAACGCCTATACTCATCACGAGAACGATGGTCGGCGAGAATCTAGTCAAGGCGCCGTGAAATTGATTTCCGGTGATGATGGTCGACGACAGACGACAACATACGCTGTTCAATCCACCACCGTAACGATCGATTAAGAGGGAGCAAGAGACGAAGAAAATACGAATGCGAGAAAAGAAACGGTAACAGACAGGATGTGGTGGGCGCTCGATTGTGTGCGTCGATTTCGAAGGATTCATCAGTGATGATAGTGCTCCTAGGGCCATGTATCATGGTTCTTTGTCGTGATGGATTTATTCATGATAAAGTGGGACGTAGAATTTACTGTTGAGTTTGTATGTTGAATAGGATACGGGACTGTGTTTTGATGGAGGATTATGAGTTGGTAGCTATACAGTTGAATGACGATTCGTTTAGTTTGAGACGTTTCGGGAGAAACGTTGCGATTCCGTGAAACGAGATTGTTTGTACATATTTACAGAAATATATATACAATATATGTATATGTAAACTTCCCCTTGTTTGTACAAGATTTATGGATCGAAAATATTTGATACATTTTATACATATACGTGTATACATATAATATTAGCACACTAGTCAGTTCCCTTTTAAGGATATTCCTTCTCGTGCAGGCTTGAATGGGATTCAAGTACTGTCATGTTCCATTAGAATCCTCTGGACTCAAAATGTATACCTGTTAACTATAACCCGAACATATAGTTCACCGTTCTTGTAATAATAAAAACGTTTGTAATTAATGTTATGATTATATTGTTTTTAATATTACGAAGTCGATAGGATGATAGAATTGAAGCATATTCGGGATCGTAAATGAACCTGATCGTTACGTGGTGTCAAGTGTATATGTGGTGAAATGAAAATGGAATAGAAGTTTGACTTTACTAGCGAAACTTACTATTTAGTGATTAAAAGGAAAATTAATTTATACAGAATTTCTGCCGTTATAAATTTATAATAAGCATTCCAAGTCGGTCGTATCATTTTATCCGACAATCGATTAGACGAGTTCATCTCTCATTGTGTATTTGACGTTTCGTGATAATGACGTACGAATTGTTGACTCAACGTGTTACATTCGAATCGAATTTTACCGATTGTCATGGAAGTGTTTCGATCATGGACGTTTCATCGTTTTAAAAGCTAAAGGAACACCAAATTTTCAGTAACCATGTTCAGGAAATAATTATATTCCAATTTGTTGCATAAGCTTTTATTAATACTTTAAGCGATTATAGGGAATGTGTGACAAATGTACAGCAATAAATACCATTAAACAATTAATCCATTTATGAAAATAAAGTTTATAAGTATATTGTTATACAATGTTATACATTATTCGAATATTTGTTGAGAATCATTGAAATTAATGGGAATAAGTTTAAAATCAAATGGATAGAAACATATCAAAATTAAAATATAATTTTAATAATTCATACGAATTTCTTTTAGTAAAATCACCGACAGACGATCGCTGGTAAGAACAAATTTCGTTAAAATTCAGTGACATCTTATATTGCAAAGAGTAATACATATTCCCGTCACTTTCAATACATTCGTTTCTTCGCATCAGATTTTTATATCGTTCGTTGGAAAAGATAATGCGCGAAGTGTCAAAACGTTTGCAATTAAAGTGTTAATCCTTTGCACTCCAAGAACTTGTTAACATAAACGATTATTAACTCCAACACATTTTTGTCACTTCGCTTCTGAGAGTTATGTAGAAGTGTTGTGTTTTTCGACAAAGATTTATAACTACTGATACAGAAATTTCTTGATAACTGTGAATTCCTCGGTTCCGCGGAGTCACACTCACGATGAGCGTGGACAGTTGTCAGCACCTATGTAGTCAATCAGTCTTTGCTCGAAGTTCGAGCCTCGGCCGTTTGCCCTTTGTAGTGTTCCGACATAGAAAATGACAAGCGAGTGAATAACAAAAAGGGAAAGCATCTCTTTCCACTCGATTCGACTGCGTGAGCCCACCTGCGACGCTCCCACCGACCAATGGTTACATTGTAATCGCTGCGGTTTGCGTTATCTTACTCGGTCTCGATGTGTCTCGTTAATTCTCGTCGTCACACAGTCCGATTGTGTGTGTACCGTTTTGGCCAATAATAAAAATACGTGTGACTGGAGGTGATCCAGGTACCATTGTAACATCGACAGCTCTCTAAGCATTCGTTGACACTTAATCGCTTCGACAAAGCGTCGTACATATACCTACATATACATTTCACTGCTCTGTCCGTCGAGCCGTCGTGCCAGTTGTTGAGAAAAAAGAGACTTTTTTCGACGAGTCGACGCGACAGCTGAACGAGGGAAGATCAAGAACAGATTACATTCCCGGGTGTCGGTGATACAATATTAATGCAACGATGAAACTTTTTTATTTTTGATTCGTTGTTAATGAAATTTTTACTAGTATATTGGTGAGATTTTTCTGATTAAAATGATACCAAACACGATATAATTTGGATTATATTTACTCATGTAGAAAGTGTTAACAATTCATATTTGTTCATTATCGTTTCTGATATATCATAAGTAAATATAGTCCAAATTATATCGTGCTTGGTATTATTTTAACCAGCAAAATCTCACGAATATGTTCGTAAAAGTTTCGTTAACAAAGAACCAAAAACAAAAAGTTTCATCGTTGCGTTTCCCCTCGTTCAGCCGTTGGCTCATGAAAGGGAAGCCGCCGCGGCGCGCCGGGAAAAAATTATACGCTTGACTGGTTCCACGGCCCCCTTCCCCAGTGGTGCGGATGACGACTTCACACTTATCGTGGGCAAGCCGGCTCACACTTATCAAGACATTCCTGTATTTTCGATTTTGTTCGTTAATTCAGTAAATAAAACTCGTATTTCAGGTTTATGCATTCTGTGAAAATATCCTTAGTAGAATGTAATGGGCAAAAATAGAACAAATCTTCTTGTAAAAGTATGAATCAATTGTTCATAAAATTAGTTCACGTAAAATCAGTAACGAACGGAATTACCTCATTGATACTGTGATTGACGTCGAATCGCTACAACGAGGTGATCTTTGCATTATCGTGATATCATCAACGCGTCATCGTTATCGTCGCCATTTTGAATTGCTCCCGACATACATTGACCGCGCAACGAAGTATATGTATATTGTACGATCGCAGAAACGCAGTCAATGTAACCGTATAAATATATTTTTCAAGTGTTTATAATTTTAACTTTGGATGCGAAATAAAATATTAATATTTATCACACAAAACTTTACTTCTGTATAATATCTTAAGAAATCATATTGTCATTTGATCATAACGATCTGAAAAAATTATGTACTTATAATTGTATGGTTCATGTAAAATTTTACAAATGATAAAAATGGTAACGGTACATGTAAGTAATGAGAAAAAAATTACTGTCTATTGTTACCGATGTTCATTTATGATCAGAGTAGATTAAATGCGTGTGGACCATATTTATAATTTGTCGGTGGTTAAGTTATTAAATTAAAATTTATTCGAAGTATTTTAATTAAGCTACACGTACAGAAGTTCAATAAATTGACCGATAACAAATATGTATTAAATTATAGGTATATTTTTCCGAGAAATGAATATTCCGCATGAAATACTACAATTTTGGTAAGTAATAACTTAGAAATTAATTACCTACCTTTTTATTATATTAGTAAACAGTATTAAATGAAATAAATAATTAAGTGATGATACATATCTGTATACATATAAGGATTTAAATATAATCTGTTAACTCGGTTGAAATTAATGTAATTATTATTTAGTAAAACTAGATTTCTAGTTATTTTTTCTACGAATGGTTTATTTTCTCGTGAAATATTGAATGTCAATAAAAAGTTAACTACAGTAAGTTTCAGGATTTCAAACTTTTGTTGTTAGTAGCGAACTGTGATAATTGATTTGTTAAATACTGTACATAGATATAACAATTGATGTTTTGTTAAATTATTTAGAATTTCAAACTTTTGTTGTTAGTAGCGAACTGTGATAATTGATTTGTTAGATACTGTATATGTATAGATATAACAATTGATGTTTTGTTAAATTATCTAGAATCTTAAAAAATACTCGTAAGATTTGTCATGTTTACTTCGTGTCCTAAAATGCAGATGCTTGGAATAAATAGTTACGTACATTTATAAAAAAAATACGAAAAAACGTATCTAACGATTTGCCACTATTATAAAACCACGTCTGCTAGTCTCCTGAACGTTGTTGAGTATAAGATTTATATGCTTTGACGTGAGTGGATCTATTACAATTTTCTCCGCTTTATATATTGCGTTAAATGATACAGTGATACGATCGAGTAATTACTTGCGGTGCGAAGCTGACGCTAATCGTTTCTACGTTGGTGTGAAATTACTATAATCTCCCTGATCTTCGTTAGGTTTCAAACTAAATTTCCACCGTATTTCAAATTTCTTCCCTTGTAACCATGTAAACGGATCTGCTATTTTTGGTAACGAAATTTTATCGGAACTTAAGAAATTAGGAAATATTTATGTACATGAAAAGTAAGTTTGTTTTCATTGCACATTCATAGAAAACAATTTAGTACGGTCTTTAATTAATATGTATAAAATTAAAAAATTAACGAAAGAGTAACTAAATGAAAAATAATTAATGGAAATATCAAAATGTAACTAAGAATAAATCCATTTTGGAGAAGGAAAAACTTGTAATAAAAATAGACGAGTAAGATTAATTAATAATCATTTGAAATATAAATAAATATTTTAATTATTTTTAATTTTTACTAAAGGCGACAAATAATAAAATTAACGCAAACATAAAAATTTAAACTTTTCAATAGTTTCTTTATTAAATTGGTCCTTGTTTGATTTGTTTTGGTGCCAGTAATTTTGTTAGTAATCTTATCGAATATAAAACTGCGAGGCCATAACACTACAGTGATAAATATAGTTAATGAAATTCGTATATTTAATAGTAAGAAATTATTAATTAAATTATAAAATAATTTACTTAAATTTACGACAAATGGTGCAGTTACTTAGTACAAAGAAATACCAAATAAATGTGTTCTTTATAGACTTTGTAAAAAACACAATATGTCGTGTTTACAAGTAGTTTTACATTGAACATTTTAGAATCGCACCTTTCGAATGTATCGATAACAAATTTTGCTCTTTACATCATGTTGTTTCCCTAAGTTTTACAAAAAGTTAAGTAAAACCAAATCCAATGTATAATAATTTAATGAAATTCTCAATACGTTTTGTTCAAATTTGAAATTGTAATTACACGCAACATTGAGACATTTTTTCTGTTACTTACGACTGTTTCTCTGTTCCTACATCATATTGCTTATTATTTTCGAATATTACTTTGTCGGTACTTCTTATTACATCACCTAGCACTATCTTTAAAATGTATTTTTAATCATCAATTTTTACTTTCAATCGTATTATATGTATAAGGTAGTTTTCACGTCACGTCGTCTTACCGCTTAAACATTTATTAAATATACCAAAATTACAAAAACCAGTAAAAGGCAGTGTACAAAATTTCACGGTAATTATTCACAATAGGAGACTCCTCGCCGATTTGGATGACCTTGAAATATAGTGTAAAAGGTCATCATTCTGAACAACTTTTCCTTATACATGTTACCTGAAATATGTTTCAAATTCTGATCGATACATACTGTCAGTCATAAATCTAAATTTAACAAAAGTTTTCTGTGAATATTCGAAAAACAGGTAAAAACTCGTCTATTGTTTTGGAGGCTTCCCCTCCCCCAAACCCCCTCGCCCCTAACGAATGTAGTCTCAGACCTACCTCGATCGCATTTTCAAATATGTATCTTCTCTTAAATATTGCATATTGCCCATTTTTTCATGGTCAAGGTTACTCAGGGCGATGGCTTTCACAATACAGTCAAGTTCAAGGTCATACACAGGATTGCCCTGTTTCTACATAATTACTCATACGGAATAAAACACTGTATACAGTATCGAATATATTTTTGCGAATATCTCAGAAATTAAGACCGACCGGCGGTTACGTGTATAGGGAAAAGTTGTTCAGAATGTTGGCCTTGACAACATTTTTCAAGGTCAACCAAATCGGTGAGGAATCCCCTATTGTGAATAATTACCAATTTCATTAGTTTTGCTAAATATTTTTCTAGCTGTCTACTTAACAGTTTATTTAATAATTATAATCATGACTCCTCGTGGTACAGAGTAGCCAAGCGACTATTTGCGTTTTATGATTTTTAGAATTATAATAGTTATAGAATAATTTACGATTTTTATATAAATCGTATACAATTATGTCCAGAAGCAAGTATTTTACAGTGAGACCACCTGGTTTATGAACGAAAATTTGTAGGATCTACGAAGGTAACATTCTCATTTATTTTACATTGAACTCGTATTTCTATCTGTATCCACCATGTACGCTGTGTAAAATGTATTCAACATCTATGAAGGCCATGATAAAGTCATTGATCGTCACATTGCCCGAAGAGGACGATTCTCACAGAGAAGTGATTCATTGTTATCGAAGGTAATTAATTCAGACTACTCTGTACGTTTTGTCGATACGATCTCTGATATGATCAAGATTCTTACATAGTTTCGTATTTTTACCTTGAACAATCTTGAGTAATACCATTACACCTGTAGGTTTCTTTTAAGAAGAGCTTGAGTTTTCTTAAGCCGGTGATCCTTTGACCGGTTTCGCTTAGGAAATACAACAGCTGGACCCCAGAATGTATTAAGTCCACTTTTTAAAAAAAACATGACATTTTACATGCTTTCCGTATCAAATGTTTCACTCTCTACGATGGTAAAAATTATTTCGTTCAAAGTCGTTTAGTTGTTAATACAATACTGTAAAAAGATATTAGGTCCATATCTTGTTTCGAACCAAATAGTGTGAAGTCCACCACATAGAGGACTTAATGCAACGTCCACCATTTCTACATATCGAAACTTGTTTGAACTCCATTGAATAGTACGAAGATAGCGAATGTTTCCTATTGAATCCTTATCGAACGGTTTCAAAATTACAAGGTTTGTACACCTTCGATTTTCTCTAAAAATTTTGAAAATTGTGACTTAATGTACTCTGGCCCTGGGGTCTAAATATAGAAATTTACCCGTTAATGTTCTTCTGTTTATAAACAAACAGTTAAGTTCCGACGGTTACTGAGTGATCTAGCATTTTGTTATTTAGCCATTGTAGAAGGGACGGGACTTACAGGTCGCCTGTGATTAAGAATCTATGTCCACCGTAGTTTCTCTGTAACCACTCTTGGGTTCCGTTCGAAGCTCCCTGATGACCATCGATCTGCTTAAATTCACCTGCTGAATATCCGAATCCTCGTCGTCCGTCAAATGTCCATCGTAAACCGTGTATCTTCGTTTTTTCGACTTTGCGCTCGGCGTCTGCGGTCTAGCCCGTAGTCTTCCGCTTCCGGAGTCCACGGAGTCGCTCACCATGCTTTGCCGTCTGGCCCTGCGCGCCGCGTTGGCTCTGGAGTTTCGTTGACTAGCAGCCTGCGGTAACTCGGTTCTGATTTTCTTGCCGGCGCTCTTCCCTACGGAGCAGATCGTCTTCACTGAGAATCCTCGTTTTCACGCGTCTCGTTCGCCTCTGTTTTGTCCTCAAGTTATCCGCGGAACCCATGATACGCATTGTGGACGTTTCCACTGAAATTTCATCCAAATGGTCCAGGGAATGAGTCAGCCTTGGCATTTGCACTGCCTCCTCGTAACTGGGAGGTCCGATTAATTCTAAGGGATTGATTCTGGGCTCTGGAGCTCGTTCTACTACGTGTTCGCGGCGTTCTTCCTCGTGCACGGTCCGCAACCTAATCAAGAATTAATACCGTTTGAGATTAGCGAACATCGTGCTGAATGGTAAGTTTTATAGAGAATGGTTGTGGACAAACTTTTTCATAATTCTGTTGTGAAATTTAGAATTGAGCACATTCTTGAGCCCAATTGTTAGAAGCTAAAGTAGATTACTGAGTTATTTTCTGCAGGTAGTACTGCGTATTTTAAATTGTTAACTCTATTGCTTGTTTATAATACTTCTTGAAACTGGTGTCCTATATGTAAAGAAAATATTGTTTTTTTTTGTATTGTTATTTGTTGCTGAAATGGCACTGAAGGAAATGATTTATCCGATTGGCACACGCATCGATCTTTCTGTTACGGTTTATCTGTACATAGTTGAATATTTTTATACTGTATAAAATTTACAATTACGTTTGTATATATTGATATTTTTATCTGTATAAAAGAGAAGTATTTATAACTTTGTGTATATTATGCAGTATCTGCAATACCTTTTTACATAATTTGAGACTGTGACGATAAAATAAAATACAATGTAGACAAAATAATATACAATAAATTGGAACAAGGAAAAATAATTACTTTTAATAGCAGGCACAGATCACTGTAATTTTTCTTTGCAAAAATTAATCTAAGGACACCGTGTACGTGAAGTTTTCACGAGTTTTAATCTTCAAAAAAAATCGGATTTAACTATGTCAAGTCAAACATAAATCATTCAGCCACGTTATGATCCTAACTTCAAAAGTTATTATTATATAAAATAGCAAACGCACGATACATTTGAAATCCTAAAAATTAAGAGCACGCTAAATTTATATATTCAAAACAATTTCGTCTCGTTTGCTTGTCGCAAATTCACATTTTTTTCTAATTAAAACTTAAGTTCAATATTTAAGATTAAATGTTAGTTAAAAATAACTAATTTAATTGTAAGTTAAATTCCAATATTATCTCAAAAAACGAATAAAATCAAACGTATACACATAGTGTTGTGATAACGAATCTTTAACCCTTTGCGGTCCTTAGCGGTGACATTTCTGACAATGCAGTAGTTCAGAGATGAATACGACTGGAGATGAATATCAACGCAGGACTAAAATGTTTGATTATGTAATATCTTTAAGTCAATTCTTCTATATCCAATATAATTAAAAATGGAATATTGTAATGCGATATGGTTAAAAATATTGGTTTCTGAAAATAATTTCAACCAACGGATGGTACACGAGAAGGTCAGTTCGGGCCACAAAGAGTTGAAATAACAAAATTTCTTCTTACCTCCTTTGCCTTAAAAGTGTCAGTGATTCTAGCTGCTGTCTTTGTTCCATAGCCCTTCTTTTAACACGCATCATGTGTCTGATGGAGACGAAGCTTCCGAATAATACGATAATCGTCAGAACGGTGATCATTATAAATCCCCAAGTCCGATCGCGGTTGTAGTACACAGACGCGTTCCATGTATCGAAACAAGCAATCTCCCAAGAATAACCGGTCACGTTCGCTGGACTTTGACAAAGTAAATTTGATTCTGTCGCTTTGGCAGGTGGCTCTGTTAGATAGTTAAACAGAACGTATAGGTCCCTGCAGTCGCAACGCCAAGGGTTGTCTTCTAATTTGATGCTGTTTAGGTCAGGATTGTTCCGAAAAATTGCTGGATCTATAGCCTCTGTCAAACGATTCCCTAGAAATTTATGTTTTAATAATTATTTAACAATTTTCTAACAGGACACTGCTTATCTACATCACCAGAATAGATGATTTTTAAATAATTAGATGTCGGGGAACTGGTTATTTCGGCAGTTAATTTCTATTCCTTTAAATTTAATACTGCATATGTTTTTTTGATTTTCTTTAAATCGATTAAAAATTTGCAAAATGTTCTATACTTGTGATGGAATTATTGTATTGGAAAAATATACCGAATTGCATTAAATTACCTATCTTACTATTGCCTATCCCTGGTATAAATTTCAAACATATAGATTCTTTTTAAAATTTTTGTTACATGGTGATGAAGATTAGAGTTCATAAAATTATGTCTATAAGTTTATGTAAACAATACAGAATTACAAGGCCTATAAACATGAGTGGCAATCGGGCACATGTTTCCCACCAACTTAATAATGAAACTGCCGATCTTTATACACTTATAATAAGTATATGAACTTTACCTTCCAAATTTGCGAAGTATAGTAAAATAAAAAGTTTAATGCTATTTATGTATTACCATTCAGAAGCCGCTAGTACAGAAAATAATATTTTGTTCAATTTTAGTTTTTGTACATTAACACGTTCGCTACCAGCGTCACAGACAAGTAGGCACACTGATAATACCAGTTGTGTATAATCTACAAGTTTCGAGTAAATTGTCAGCAATAAATGACAAAAGTTGTCTAAAAAACCATAGTCATCTGTTTCCGCATTTGACTTGGGTTTTATAGGCAACGCCAGCTGACAAAATGATAAAGCAAATTGGCAGAAAGTCTTGCATCATGACCTATGTCAAATTGAGGGCAAAACCGGAACAAGGTTTGCGCAAGCCAATTTGCTGGCTATATTGCTGATAATGTGCGCGCAAATTGTTTATAGAAAATCTTGTAACAAACTTGTAGCCTAACATAACTTTATAACAGGCATTGGATAAAATTTCGTTTTGCATGTTTGGTTGAATGGGCAGTAAACGTATTGGTACACTCATATAAATCATAAATAAGTGTTAATAAAAGTTGTTTATATTCACTCACACACAGATTTGATACACTGTTTATGAGGCTACATCTATTCTGAATCTATCTGTTACTAATATCCAAATGAAAGACCTACAATGACATGGTTTACTAATTTATTCTCATGAAACATGCCGATACTTACCCTATTACCGGGGATAAATTCAGAATAGACATAGTTTTATAAATAGTTAATCAAATATACATGTGGGTGAGTAGAGACAACTTTTATTAACACTTATTTATGATTTATATTAGCATACCTTCTTAAATAAATGCAATATGTATTTTTCAATATTCACCTATATTTTATGTTATTCATTGTCTCTGTCTTGTGTCTTTTTAACATCCAATAATGAAGGTAAGAACATTCCACTGAATAGAATGATGGGAACCAAACTTGGTCTGTGACGAACGTTTTCGAAATAAAATGATGGCAGCGAACGTGTTTAAAATTTTGAATTTGCATAAACTGCCACAGTACACTAATAATACACCAAAATACAAAATATACCTGATAAATCGAGCCTTAAAAGTTGCGGCAACCGGAGGAAGGTGTCATTTTCCAATCCCACCAGTCGATTTCTTCGCAGATCCAAGTTCTTTAACGAGGTCGACTTGATTCCAGACGATATCGTCTCTAATCGATTGTCACTCAAAATGATACTTCTTATTTTCGGCATGTTCCTCAAGAAGTTCACGTTCAGTTCTTTAATTAAATTCGACGACACGTCCAGCAGTGTGACCGCTGACGTGAGATTCGGGAACTCGTACAGGATGTTATAAGACAGGTTGAGCATCTTGAGGTCCATGTTCTCGCGGAACGCCAACGGGTGGATCTCCCGGAGATTGTTCGCGGACAGATCCAACACCTGAAGCTTCACCAAGCCCTCGAATGTGCTGGCGTTCAGACTTTCCACGTCGTTCGTGTTCAAGTATAAAAAGCCGAGTTCTCGATTCTTGGTGAATATATAATCGGGCAGTAAACCGATCGCGTTACGGGACAATCGGGCATGTGTCAACGACGGAAATCCATGGAGCCCAGGTCTATCCAAATTGCACTTCGACACGTCGAGTTTCTTCAGGTTTGGATGGCTCAAAGTTGAATTTCTGAAAATAGAGTATATTCGTTGGTATTACTTTTACTGGTTTTTTTAGTGTTGTGCATTAGTTACTACTTCTTTTGGAATACCGTAAGTAGGGGTAAATTTGATTCAGGGTAACTTTATCCCATGTTCCAAAAAATGATCATTTTCGATTTTGCAGTTTTGCTCATTGTTAAATTAAGTTAATTTTTACGTGAAATATCATTTCACGTAAATATACCTGCAAAAGAGATGCAAAATCAAAAATGATCATTTTAAGTTAACCCTACTTACGGTACTGTTATACGTTACAGTTAGCGATGGGCTCAAGTTCACTGTGTGTACCTGCTCACGAATCCAAGTCGATTCCAGCATAAAATTTTTACTTTATGGGATTCGATTAATACTTATAAAAAGTGATGTTTCATATTCTATATTTACAAAGTATGTACTCGGATTATACAAGCTGGTTTCGAATTTTCGATCGAGTACCCGGAGAGTTTAAGAACGTACTTACGCTTCTGCTGTTATTTACCACATTGAATAGCTTTCTTTGACTAATTTTACAATCGTATTATTTTAAGTGTAATAATTCCTGACAGGTTTTATTCTTTTGTAACTTAACATATGGCCCGATGTTAACGTACTGTATGTCATTTTGTAGGTGTTATTATTAGATTAGATTCGAATTATTTATCATATACTTGATACCATCGTGTATGTGTTCATGATGTAGATAGTATACTAAAATAGCAAAATGATTATTGAATAATATTTTAAATTCTTTATTGTCATTCAAATTAAAGTGAAACGATTTTTTACTAATATTGGAGTACATTCAAATTAATATTACAATATTAGTCAATAACATTATTGTATAAATTTTGTGTAGAATATATTACACTATAATTGAAGAAAGTATAATTAAAGTTATCAGATAAAAAACATTAAGGTCAATAATACACAGTATGTTCTATTATAATTGGTCCATCCATTATCTTTGAAATTCCATTACTAATCTACTTTATCATACAGTTTTATTATAGATATTTACTTTTAATATATATGTATAGATCATATTTCAAATTTACCGTTACTTTCAAGTTATTATAATATTATTCAGACGAAGCGTAATGTTGAATTTATTATTGTCCTACTATTTCTTATAGGTGTATCTATATAGTTTTTAGTAACGTCCCTATACTGTTTTGTGTAATAATTTAATGAATTATTGATAATTAAATAATAATATTGAGTAATAAATTACAATATTTATATCGTAATCCGTTAAGCTTCTTTTTTTTCTTAGATATTGAACTTTTCAGAATAAGTAGAATCAGTAAATAATGAACAGACACGTGCACTTATAATGAATCTTATTCAGAGTAGCACATGAAATAAAAAATGCTATTGAAGTAATTTTTTTCGAAAACAAAGCACCATTTATAAACACCTTATTTTAGATTTTCCTTTTCATGAAGCATAACCACTCACTGGGTTATGTAAAGGGAGTTTCCTCCACCATTTGTATAGATACAGGTAAAAAAAGTAACTACATATGTATATTCCCCTTTCTTTTCAATTAACCTTCTATTTTTGTTTAATATTGTCTATAATTGGAGAATTTGAGCGTTCTACGACAGTCTACCTTCTTGTAACTGTTAAATTTTTAGTAATAAATGGTATTCAGATATTGAATAATTCATAAGTAAAAGCTTTCTGTTCAGCATGTCACATAGTTACCTCGTGCTGTAGACTAATGTGGGATTGTTGGACAGTCGAAGCTCTTCAAGTTCCGGAAATCCGCTGAAAGTATCGGGACTTAAGTAATTCAAAAGGCAGTCGGACATATCGAGCCACCGTAGTTTTGGACTCCATGCTTTCTGAATGAATTTCAAAGGGTTTCCTACCAAGCTTAGTGTAGTTAATGCCGGCAGACCATCCAGAGATGTATTACTAAGTTCCCGTATTTCTGTCAAATGGGAAAATGTTTTAAAAATTATTAATCTCCCTTGATAATTAAATTCTCTGTTTAAAAAAGTGAACGTACTAATATTACGTAAAAACACACGATATTACTTAATAAATAATTCTAGCCACAGTTATTACCATTTAGAAAACAGAAGGTTACAATATATTTAATACTTTTCAATTAAAATTAACACAATACTATTAAATCCCGTCATAAAGAATTCGTGTTATAAAGCACTAAAATTCAACTAGGAATGAAAAATACTGATATTAAAAGTTCTTAACTTTAATGATTATTGTTCAATGCAGAATATAGAGCTGATAAAGTTGAATTATTAATTGCTTTCAATCTACACAAATGCAAAGAAGAGAAATTCAAGTTATTATACAACTAAACACATATATTCAAAGATTGTTAAATAGTAATGAGTATCCTTATAAACGTTCTGATTCAAAAGTTCATATGAAATTACAGTTCTTCGATTTATATTTAAAAACTCTTGGAAGGCTGCTGTATAGTCACGAAAATACTTGATACGTATTGAAAAATACTACGAGATCAACAAATATTTTAAAAAAGCTCATGTTATGGAATTAAATATGAATATGTAATTGTCAGTAAATAAAGCATGAAACTCAATTACGAGTATATTTGATATGCTTCAATGAAATATTATCATACCACAATGACTTGCATCCAAAGCTTCAAGACTGGGGCTTATTAAGCCCTCCAAATTGTACAACGGATTTCTGGACAAGTAAAGGATCACCAAAGACGGAAGTTGCTTCACAGAGCTAATATCTACGATTTCGTGCACCGCGTTCCCGGTCAAGTCCAATCGTCGCAGGTTTTTCAAGTCGCTAATGTCGTCGGGCAATGAACTCAACATGTTCCTCGCTAAATTCAGGTACTGCAGATCTGTCAGGCGATTTATATCACTCGTGATATGCGTCAACAGGTTGTTCGATAAATTTAATTGCTCCACCTAAAATGCGATTAAAAAAACGATAAGTATACATTCGACGAGACATTCTTCTAGATCAGTGATGAACAACCTTTCTTTTACAGCGGGTCAAAATTGGAAACCTAGTAATCCCAACGGACTACTGAAACTGTAAAACCTAATTTATTAATTTAAAAATTATCAATTTACTTTCCCTTTCTTTTCATTTTCTTTCACTTTAACTGATTAAAGTGGGTTGTACAAACAAAACTGACGTGTTGCAGCTTGCTCATCATTGTTCTGAATGATTATGGTGTATAAATTGTAAAAATGTATCTAACTAAAACCACGAACAACAGACAAGTTGTCTTTTTGAATGTACATTACCGGAGAAAATCATAACAACTTGAGCATAATAATTCGTTAAAGATTCGTTTCTTTAGCGTTTTCTGCATTAACTAACGATAAGTATGGATTTTCTTAATTTTTAGAGGACGAGTAGTTTTTTTCATGGCTTTTTATATTTTCGAGTCAGAACTTTTATATATTCGTTATAGTGTTTTGCTACGAGAAATACGTCATCCTTCTGGAGCCCAAAAATAAGGTTTCCGTCCTTTAAAGGTTAAACAAAAAGGCACTTCTAGAGAAAAGTGTATTTTCTTAAATATTAATAATTTTAATAACATGAGAGACCTCTTCGTTAATTAATACAGAAAATGTTGAAAATTTACAAAGATATATTGTGGTCAAGTTGTTATAATTTTGTCCAGTTATTCTATATTTAATATTCCCTCACTAAGGTGAATTAAAATAACAGAGAGGTATCATAAACGTAATGTTATCTGTTAGATACTCGTCTTTCTTCACCGGTACATTTGTACAGGTGACTCACTCTCAGTCCTAGTTACATTTTCTACAAACGACGCGATAAAGCATACACATTGTACAATAGAAAAGGAAGTTGGGACCTTTCGGTCCAACTGGTCAGCCAGGGGTCTACTCACTACGTCACTTATATTTTCAGGGACCTCTTCCAAGCTCTGCCTCGAGCATATGACAGTTCTCGGCTGTTTGCTGAAGTGGCACGAGCATCTCGCAGGGCAAACGCTTTGGCATATCGCTAGAGAGGATATTCCGAGTAGTACGGCCAGCAATTGGAGAAGGGAGCTATAATGAACCCGTTTCTCCATGTTTTTTGCTATCAAACACGTTGAAATCCATGGAATTCACATTTTTCACTGAACAAAATGGAAGTAACAGCCGTTTCAACGGGACACACCGTTCCGAGGGAGTAATCGAGTCATTGCCGATCGTTTTTCGTTGATTTTGGGACGGATTGAAGGACGATTAAATGAAAAACAAAAAAGGAAAAATATGAGCTGACACGTCGCGGATCAATGAGTGGCCCCAACAGTACGCCGAACCGTCCTGAAAACTACTGAGTACTTATCTGTGATAAGTAACGTGGGATATGCCGCATGATATCTCCGTGAGATAAGTCGAGCATGCGGTGAAGTGTCGAGAGCATTATTCCCCGTTGTGGACGAAAAAATTGAATAAATATAGGCGTGAAATGCACCTGTAAGCTGTGTGAATATAATCAACCATGCAGGGTAAATGACCCAATTACTGCCAGTGTTCCTAATACAGCCACTTGATTTATTGTACTTACAAAAATAACACAAATGTAACTTACAAAAAATTGTGTGCAACAAATTTTATTATTAAATCGGGACGCTGAGTTACATAAAAACAATGAAATACGTGTACTTGCATGCACCTAGTATTTAAAATTAATGTTTGAATATGAAAGTACAACTTGGCATCAAGAATGTGGCTACATAAGTGGGAAGTGATAGCGAAAGCGTACCAAAAAAAGAACTGCTGCAATTTTACTATTCAATCTACATTTATTGTACAAAATGAATTGTTAAAGTATTTGAGAGTTATTTTAATTTTTGACGTGACAGTTTTAGGGACACTGGGATGCTCGCAGATTTTAATTAATTATTAACTATTCTTCATATTTAATGTATAGAACTGCTTTTTTTTTCAATGAAAGAGATGTTAAATAACATTATATTCCAAACTGAGACGATTTTTAGGTTAAACAACACATAAAATGATTAAATGAAGTTACGCTACAATATTAAGATGGCAGTAATTGGGACATCTACCCTAGAATATTTGTAAAAGGTAAAACATAAGTAAATAATTAAATTTATTTTCGTAAGGTAAGTCGAGTATGCAAAGAGGTGTCGAGAACATTATTCCGCGTTGTGGACTGAAAAACTGAATGGATATACTGTGAAATGCACCTGCAAACTCTATGAATATAATGAATGATGTCGAATATGTTTACTTGGCAAAATGCATCTAAATAATTAAACTGGCAGTTGCTTTGGGAAATCGTCCGAGTAAATTATTCGTTTTCATTAACCACTACTGAGTTTGTTCAAAGGTGCTTTCACATAAGTATTTGTGAATATAGCTTTGGTGGGAAATATTTGTCAAAAAATGAAGGTATTAATTAAAAATAATTGAGCTATCGAAATAACAAATAAGTGTAATGATTTCTATGCAATACCTATTTATGTATACTCACCTGATTTTTACTTATATCAACATTTTGTGACGACTTTTTGTTAATTTTGAAATAAAATTCAATGTTCGGTATGTAATTTGATCAAACAAGCATGTGTGATTGCCTTGAACGAACAAATTTCTGAGAAATTATAATTGATTATAATAAAAAAGAAAAATTTTTCTAGTTAAGAATCAGTTCTCACACTATGCCTTGATTGACTCTTTCGTGTGTATTAAAGAAATATATCGTTAGATAACTTCATATTCAGCATATTTTCGTTACCAGTAAATTAAATAATATGATATAATGAAAAGTCACCTGTTTTCCGGTTCAGCTACAAAAGAGTTTTCAAACATATTGTAAAAATAGTACCTACTTCAGTATGTTGTAATTTGAAATGACTAATTTCTATCACAATAGTGTGAATTGCTCTCTGTACAAATTTAATTATATTTAAAGTATATTAGGAATCTGTTAATACTAATATTAACAAGCATTAATATAACATGATATTAATATGATAATATTAACATATGATATTAATATAAATTATTTCGGATTTCTAATCCGTTAATTATATTTATGGGGTAAATTGAAAATTACAAATTGAATATTTTTGAACTAATTTCTATGTAGTTTTAAAATAGTAATGGATGAATGTATAATTAGGAACCTGGGGTAAAGTTTTCATGTTTATATAAATTTAAAGGTTAAGTTGTAATTCTATTGTCTTTCTATCTTCTTTCTATTTTCTGCCTTCTGTCTATTGTAATTTTTCTAAATAAATTAATGTATTTTATGCACTTACATAATAGGCGTGAATTTAGAAGACATAATAGAGTAACAACTACAATCAAATTCAATAATGTTTCTATTTAATATTTAACATAATTAATTATTATTTCATTCTAACATATCTGTAGCAGTCTCATTATACATATAAATACAAATGACTGTGGGTTAAAAGTTTCAATCTGACATTAAAGAACTCTCAACGAAGTAATATATTTTTCATGATTTCCTATCAGCATTTCTATTCGCAATTGCAAACATTTGAATAAGGTCACGAAAATATATAATCTTTACTTCATACATTGTAAAACCATGTTGCACTAGCAACTTAAAGAGGCAACAAGATAAAAGGAGGCCAGGAACGGAAAATGAATATATTTCTCGGCCAAAGAAAAATTTAAATTTGAATGGGCAGTTCCGCGGAAAATACAAGACATTAGATAAATACCTCGAGTATCGGAAAAGCCGATATTGAGGCGGCCATCTCTCCGGTCTAAGTCGCTCTTGGCTGACCCATGCGGATATTTTCCCCTTTCCCCAACCGCTGTCGCTGTATTACAACCTTTTTTTTCATCGTTTCTTCAATCCGACAAGACCGTGTCCCAGGTCTTCCCGAGGATCGAACAACCACGGCTCAGTATTGCACCGATGGCGTACCTGAAAGCAGCGAGGACAACAAACGGTTGAAATGTTGCTATAATAAACAAAGGTAAATATTAAAATCATCTAACATCAGGTCATTTCCTTTTACTGTATTTTAAATATTTCATTCCAAAATTATTGTACTATTATGCATTTTTATCTATATTATATGACATATAAATGATTCATAAGAACATTTTATCATTTCGAAAGCGTTTAGTGCCATCTATCGTTCGTCGACATTTGAAAACTTTTTTACTTTTATCACAGTTATGTACAATAATTTACCTTAGAAAAGTTATTATATACAATAAAACTCATTTTTCTTACTTCCGATCAGTGAACTATCTTGAAATATTTGAAAAAAATTAAGACTTGATGTAAGTTTTTTTTGTATTACTAATAGGGGAGTGCGAGTACTCAAATTACTCGAAAAACTCAAACGGCTCAAATATTCGAGCGCTTGTAATACTTCGAATTACTTGAAGATGAATTTTCAGCTCATTAATATTCGAATTGCTGTAGTTACTCGTATATTTATCTATTTACTATCAAATACTAATGTAACTGTAAGGAAAAAAATGTACGACTCTAATTTAATGCTTCTGAGTTATTTTCATGTTTTTACGAGAAAAGCATATTTCTTCTCTGTTTATAATTCTGTACGTTGGGCAATGATGATGTTCTCTGTTCTGCGTTATTAAAGAAGAATAGAAATGTAGTTGCATATTGTAATACGATACAACCTCTTACATTTTTTTTCCTAACAGTTTTTCCTTACAGATAATATTCGAGTAACTCGAGCAATTTGAATATTTTCGAGTAACTCAAATGTTAGAGATCCGTTCGAATGTATTCGAGTAATTCGAAAATTTTCGAGCTGAAAATTCATCATCAAGTAAATCGAAATCTTACGAGGGCTACAATATTCGAGCCGTTTGAGTTTTTTAAGTAGCTGGGATATTTTTCAAACAGTTCGTCGATTCGAAGTGTAGTTTGGAAAATTCAAACTTTTGACTGGACTCGAATAATTGAACCGAGTTCAGCTCAGCTTGTAAATTATTGTGAATTATTAACACTTGAGTTTCAGGAAATGAAAGAAATAAAGAACATAGTGTCTTATTTTACCTATAAGCTTTTAAATGCATATTAAACATTTTTTCATGTTATCTATACAAGACTAGAAGAAACTATTATATGTACAATACTCACAAGATACAGAGAGAACGAAAGGGTTAACCCTTGGAAGGTGGGCAGTTTTGATGGTAACGCAAACAGCGTAGCGTGAGTCTATGTATATGGACCCTCGTGCATCTTTCCTTCTAAATGCACTTTTGAACAAATTTCTTTGTGAATTGGCTACCTTTTTATTGGAATTAGTATAAACAATTAGTTACTTAAACTAATTATCAGAAGTTTTTAAGTTAGTTGAAACTCTTGAAAACGTGGGTCAAAATGGACCCAGTTATCGTCGTCCGAGGGTTAATCGAAAATACCGAGGTTTTATAACATAGAGCGTTTGATAAAAGATATAACACTGTAAGACGATATTTACCTATAACGTTTAAGAAATGATTGATACAGTTAATTGTCATATGTATATCAGTAAATTCTTAAGACATGTATCACATCTTCCGGAAAATGAACAAATACCTTATCTCTGCAGAAAAGGAAAAAGGAAGAACTGCGTTGTTTGTACGTGCAATTTATAAAAATAATCAATATGTTCTATGGAATTATTTAATATTAAATGTTTTACGCCTTTTTGAGACGTGACACGTCGCACCTGACGATTGTAATTTATCCTGTGATTTTTTATATTTTTTATTTCCAGATGTTTATTTTCAATTTTTCATTTCAGAAATACAAAAGTTGTGAACAATAACCAGTCTCTAACAAATGCATAACTGTAATGTATTTAACCCCCATCCGTCCCTCATGTTCCCAACTTAATTTGTCCCTCGGTATTAAATTGACACAGTGGTAAGAAATTAATGTAACGAAAAGAAAAACAGTTAAATTTGCAATTTCTCTAGAATAAAAGTCACGGAGTTTCAGCTAAATCTACCTATACATGACAGAATTATATCATTTCTTAAGGGAAAAATGTGTCAATGTGACACAAGGGACGGATGAGGGTTAATACCGATGATGACGAAATCTTGCAGA